TTTGCAAACAATGGACAACCACCACAGCCCCCAAATCAAGCAGAATACTCAGAGTTGGAACAGCACTCGAAATGCAGGAGAGAAGGGAAAAAATGTTAAAGACCGCAACAGATACGAGATGGGGGGTGGGGGTGGGGACAGAAGAAAGGTCAGCTAAATGACAAGCCTGCTTCTGGGCAAATATGAAAGGGAGACGTATAAGTAAGGTATATGTGTCACCTGAGCAAGGACGAGTCTAAGGGTGATTGAGGTGTACTTTAAAATGAAACAGGATAAGTAAAACAGGCGAATCATTTATTTATTTATATCAAGTGGCATGCATTTTAATAGTTATCATTAGCCCTTTAGTTGACTTCAGGCTTCACAGATGGGAAGGAACATCAAAGCGAAAAAGGTCGAGATGGGGGAGGGACAGAAGAGTGTTTCAAAGATGTAAAAGAGACAGACACAAAGTTGGAAAAAAGGTGAGGTGAGTACGGTTGAAGTAGTCGAATTTGACATACAGTGGGGTGATGGTAGTTTGGAGTCTGAAGTCAACTGCCGGTTAATAGACTTTTTGCCGTATGAGTATACGTTGTCCAGGGTGCACCACGTGGAGGTAAGTCTATCGCACACCCCACAGGCGAATCATAGAAAAGCGATTTTGATGGTTTGCGTCATAGGGGCATGAAGGCGAAAAAAGTAGCCTATCTTTGACGTAGTTGAGGTTGTCAATTAATATTCGAAAGTGCGTAAGGAGTTATTCTCCATGCGAAGTGGTACAGTTATCACAATTATCGATTTTCATCATAAATAGTCACCATCTTAGCGTATACTCATAAATGAATATAACGATAAAACTGTCATATAGTGAGACAGCTTATTCGCTAATTTAATTTTGTTAGCTAGAATATTGAATATATAATAACTTAGTGGAATGGAAATGTCTTTTAAATTGTTACTAAGTGGAATACTAAACAAGGGGAAACCAAGCTCCCGAGGGAATTATTAAAATTCAAGGATTAGAATGGGTGGTTGGGTTCACTACTCTTTAAATTCTTTCCTCACAAGGCTAATTTCTCAAGCTCCTTCTCCCCATTTTCGCCTCAGCTTAATCACGCCCTGTTTTGGACAATAATGGTCATAACAACAGCAGCATCAATCAGTATAAACTATGCGGCATTTAGAGTGGGATTTCTATCGGTCCCCCTTTCTACCCAAAACTTCTCTCCCTATTGTTTGCAAATTGTAGCGAGCTTTCTCAAGACACAATGAATATGTATGCATATGACAGCAAAATTGAAGTCGTTTTTTCGAGAAAGCATGTGTTTATCTGCCATTTTAAAGGATTTAAATGGTGGGGAGGGGGGTTGCTGATTAGGTGACAATGCGTTTTCAGATATTCTCCAATAGCCCATACTAGCACGTGCTGTTTGTGCTCAAAAAGTGGAGCGGTACAGGGGGTGGACAAATGCCCTACGATAAATCTGGCGTCTTGACAATAGAAGTGGTAAATAACCTTGGAGTGGGCATTTTGCTACATCTGGTGGTTATGTATATAGCAATTAAGATGAGAGAACTAATATGCCTTGTTGATGGTTAAATATTTTTGTATATGTGATTATCTAATTCTAGAACTGGGATTAACAATTTTAAGAAGATGCAAGGACATTTTTAAGAAAATGTTAAATTTTATAAAAGACTTAGATTTAAAAAATTACATTTTAATCAGTTTTCTGTCCGCAAACATATGCATAAGAATGTAACTTATTAATGTTAAACTAAATAAGGAATTTATTTTAAGATTTGAAGAACCGAATTGGCATGAATTACTATTATTCTGCTAAAAATTAAATAGGTCAGTATATGAGCTGATTGACAAATATTAATGCACAAATAGTTGCGTAGATTTGCCTTTCTATGCATTTGAAATCGTTAGTATTTCACCAACCGACACTGATATCACTACTATTATTTTCTGGATCAGTTCATTTACAATATGGTGGATATTTTTTTTCAAAAATAAAAGAAGAATATATATAAATGAAACATAATTTAAAATTCAACAATTCTATAAATAAATTTGATTATTCGGATGAATCTCTCAGTGTTTCTAGAGCTGCACCTAACCATAATGGGAATTATAAATATTAGTTTGGCAAAAGGTTATCTACCTATTCTGAAAATGAATAAAATCTACTGTGTGAAATCAATTTCATTATTAAATTCAGTATTTCTTATTCAAATTCACTGAGGCATTAAATGCAAAAAATATAAACAATCTCTATTAAAAAGGACCCGCCACAAAATCCTAAACAATTTCTCTTTATCAAAAGTATAATCTTTTGCACTCTAATTAATTGAATTCTGAAGTTTTCATAGCCCATTAAGGGTAATATTAGTTTGCTATAATGTGATGGGCATTGACGACTCCACAAATATATGGAGATTACTTAAATAGATTGCACAATCTTTGAGGTATGAGAAACAAATGTTAAATTTTATCATTTAAATAGCTTGAGTCTGGGTCTAGTGATTTAGATTTAAATGGATTTCAAAAATATCGGGAATAAACGACTCTGCTTTGCATATATTCTAGGTATTTTATAAATAACTGACTGCGTCAACTAATATTGAAATTCGAGAGTTAAAAATCGTTTGTAAAGCACGTAGACAAAGTTCCAATTTCAGTTCATAAATATTCGGAAACAATTGAAAACGACCATAAAATTAAAAAGATCATATATAAATTCCATATCTGTTTTCAACGTTTTATTTAAATATGTTGAATTTGAATGAATTGGATATATGCAATTTATTAAATCGCGCGGAATTTGGGTTTTGTTCTCTGGGGAACTATTTTTGGGTCTTGATTTAGTTGTAAGTTGGGAATGTTCCCATAAAAGGTTATTTACTTTTTTAAATGTAAATTTTTACTAATATATTGTACGCATTTTGTTTGCTATCGCCCTATGTGACTCAAAGTTGCCCCGAATGGGGTGGTTGTCGGTTTTGCAATTTATTTTAATCATTATTTCCTTTTAGAATATTCTTCTAGATGCCACGTGCTCGACGTGTTAGCTTAGTTCCAACCACTCCAGGTGGTATTCATCTTAGAACAGCTGATCTTTCTGCCGATGAAATAGTTATCGATGACGAAGTCGTAATCAAATCTTCCTTTTTTCGTGGAGAATCAACTGAAGTGTCAGGAACAAAAAAATCGCCCAAACGAACTCCGAAGTAAGCCTTTTATGCTTATTATCCTTGTCTTAAGATACGTCGTTCGAAAGTCCTCGGATTTGAAGAAAATTAAAAACATTGATGATCGAATTGAAGCCATTTTGGCTAGTCCAATGATTGAAAACCGTAGGAAGTCCCTTGGACATTCTAAGTCTCTCGATACTACTGGTAAGAAGTTTCCCTTATTTAATTCTTTTTTGTATAGAAGACGAACGCACTCCACTTCGAGTGCCATCATCACACGACTTACAGGCAGTCAGTAGTCGACGTTTGTCTGCTATTGTTATGTCAAAATTTGCATCGTATTTGCATTCAGCTTCATTCACGGAGGGTGAAAATAGGTACCTGTGTCCGACAAAGTTGAATCGTCGCAAAACTACCGGAAATTTTGCTACACCTCGCACATCCGCATTGAGGTGCGCTTATTGTTGCTGTAGATTTACGTTTGATTTTTGTAGTTTTGGAACACCCCTGCGTAAGAATACGCCAGTCACACCTGACTCTAAAGACCTGAGCCGGAAATTTGCAGATTTAGACGCCGTTGAAGATACCGAAAACCAGCCGCCACCACCAAAAGAAACGCCTACTCAGGAACCAATTTCATCGTCTTCACAGCCGCAAATGACCAATGAAAATCTTTCAACGACAACAGTGGAGAATGAGCCAAGATCTGTCGGTGAATTCCGTGTTCTAGTCAATATGGAGATTTCTCGACTATCGTCACTGAAAGCTGCTTGGGAGGATGTTATGGAGGAAGAAGGATCAAATATTCCTGAAACAGGTGTGTTTGTATCACGTATACTCATGGTGTTATGTCAGCTTTTATGCTTGCCATGTCGAGTGTCATGTTCGATAGCCATTAATTTGTCCGAAGTGTTCGGATTAGTTACACTAAGCGATCGCGAAATATGCTGAATTTCTTTGTTAAAATCTATATGAGGTCCGACAAGATCATCCAATTAACTGAATTACCACACAATGTTGATTTTGAAGTGGAAATTTATGGGTTACTTCAGAGTTAGTTACATTCACTTGTATGACTCATGCATCAGGTATTCAACTGTTCCGTTTTTCATGCCCATCAAGTTCATTGTAGAGCCTCAGAATTTAAGCTATTATTTTCTAAAATTAATAAAAGATTATTACTCATTTCGATCGAGTAACGATCATTTAAAAGCATGGCTGGAAATACCAATACTTTTTTAAATGTGAAGATATCAGCAGTTAGTTGCCATGAGCGTTGATTTGGTATTAGTAGTTGTTTCTGTTTATTTTTACTCGTCTTTAGCCATCACGCATATCCGAGCTGCAGTCGGAAAATGTGGATTATTGATCAAGAATAGGCTACAAAACTTCTTCGGTCTCATCGATTACACAGAAGAATCTCTTCGCAAACAGGAACAAGGAGATATTAACGAGTTGACATCCCATCAGCGTTCTAACATCAACGACCTTTTGGGAATGTGGACTAACATTGCTCGCCAAATTAGCGACATTGACAAGTCATTCGATCGTTTGCGCAGATGGCGCGATGTAAGCAAGTGGGCTTACACTTCTCCACCAGCTACTCCCGCTCCACCTAATCAGCAACAACAGAAGCAAGGGTCTAAGTCTCGTCTCCCTAGACCAGCTTGGAAGCCTAAGGGAACTCTCAAGGTTTGTCCAGAAAACTCGTGCCTCTCATAGGTGTTATTTGGATTTGAGCTTTTCTTTTCTTCACTTAGCGTCTGGTTCCAACCGCTTCTAATACTGCTGGAGCAAGACTCCGTTCTCCTAAAATTGCCAAGCGGTCAAACTTGGCCCATATCAAGGCTCAGATGCTGGCTAAGAAGAGGGCTTTGGAAGGAGGTGAAAGTACAGAGATCGTCATATTTGGTGGCGATAAGAAAGAAGGTGGGTAGACAACCTTAAATGTGAGCATAAAGTGTGACCTTATATTCAATTTTGTATTTGTAGGGTTGTGTACTCCTGTTTCTCGAGGTAGACAATCTACACTTGTCAGTTTGGAAAAGAGCGTTCCTGGATCGGAAGGCATCCAGTTAATAGAGACTTTACAGCCTGAAAAAAATGTTAATTTATCGCCCCCTATTCATGAGAGCTCGCGCCGCCAAATTGATATTAATTCAGAGGGACATGCACCTAAAGCGAATGAGAGACTTACCGTTCATGAAGTTTCCATTGGCGGGGAATGTGATATGATTGAAGAAAGTTTTGAAATACAACCTCGCAGATCGCGGGGAAGACCACGTAAGTCAACAAATTTGGGGATTTCTACAATTGACTCTGAACTACCAAACGAAGATGGTAATTTGCCGTCTCCTAAAAGTGTATCAACAAGGGCAAATAAGTCCGTTAGGACCTCGAAGCGCTCCGTGATGCTTGGAGAAGATGGTTCTGATTTATTCACAAATAGTAGAGATGTTCCACCTCTTTTTGTCGAACACGACTCAGCATCAGAAAAAACGTTTGACTCCCCAAAACCACATGGAAGATCAAGGGTTGAAGAACGTGTTAGTTTTCAGTCACCGGAGCGTGAGAGTCTCGGGAAGTCTGTTGTTACCTCGAAATCTTCCATGGCCCAAAATCAGTTTAAGCAAATAGGCGGATTGCAGAGTCCAGAACGTGAAACACAGAATATTCAGAATGGTGTTCCTGAAGAAAGTACTGGAAATTTGCTATCACCAAAATCACGTGGAAGACCGCGAAAATCATCAGCTGTATCGGTACACGAAACCGCTGAAGTAGATAAAAATTTACAATCACCAACTCTTTATGACGGGTCTCTCAACATGACACAAGGTGAAAATGTTGAAATTCAGTCACCTAAACGCGGTAGACCAACTAAGTCTACAGTTAGGGAATCTATTCGCAAGGTTAATTCACAATTGCTACATGAAAATAGCGAACTGGAGACACCTAAACGTGGAAGGCCACGAAAATCAGCAGTACCTCAGTCGGTAGAAATAAATGAGCATATACAATCTGCAGGACGACCAAGCAAGTCTTTGACTGTAAAAGTTAGTGATCTTGATGCTGGCGGAGCCCCCCTTGAGCAATCATCTGTTACTAAGGACATATTTTCTCATCAAAATTCAGCTTCTAAGGTTTCTGAATTAGCTGATGAGTATCAGCAGCTTAAGTCGCCTAAACGTAGTCGATCGAAAAAATCGACTTCGGGAAGTCTTGCTGTTCCTGAGACTCCACTTCAAGTGATTGATGTTGCTATCGACGAGAATGCCGTGATCAAGCGTCGTGGACGACCCTCAAGACAATCTTCACTTTTTGTGCCCGATTCTCAATTTCCAATAGACGAAGATTTCACGACTTTGCAATCTGCAAAACGAAGTGGACGGGCAAATCAATCAGTGGTTATCAACGACTCCCTTGATAAGAATGGCATTGGGAAAACTCCCAAGAGGGGAAGACCAAGAAAGTCGGATGTTTTTGATGACTCAATTTTGGCTGTCAACCGAACACCCAATCACAGAAGACTACGAAATTCTACGGTAGATGCGTTGGAAGTTAGTAGCACTTTTGTCACATCAGCTAAACATCGTGGAGGGCCTAGAAAATCGGCTGTTGATGATTCCTTGGCAGTGAATCGAAATTCTGTTAAACAGACTCCTAAGCGAGGAAGACCTAGTAAGTCCTTGACAATGGAGTCTACATTTCTAACTCCGAAAGAAGTTGTGGAGACGGCTTTTCCTGTGTCATCTGCCAAACCTGGAAGGCCGAGAAGATCAACAGCTGTGGCTCAGGGTACGCCTTTGACATCGATCGAATCTACTTCACTTAAACGTGGTAGACCATTCACAATTGGTGAAGCCATGTGAGTCTTATTGTTTTGCTATTTCAGTTTTATGTTTACATGTAAGATTTAAAAACCTATTATCAGGGTTTTTCGAAAATCCGCCCAAGGCGGCTGAACGAATCATTACGTTTCATGAAACTATTTTTTGGAATGAGTGCTCTTTGCGATTATACGAAAGTAAAATATTTCACCTTGGTAGTATGATCTGATCAACTCAAAGCTTCCTTTTTATCAATGGCTGAATTGGAAGTTTCACAAGTTCTAAAGCTCGCTTTATTGGTTTCTTTAGATGCTTCTTTTTAAGGCTTGAGATAAATTTATTCTTCTTTTTATTCAATTTGTTAATATTTTATTCTGATCTTGTGATAATTTATCTCACTTTCATTCGTGTATTACTTAATTCCAAGATATTTAAGAGCTTTTTTCTTTAGAACTTGAATCGCCGTTTGCCTTTCAGTATGTATGAATTTAATTATAAATGTTTTTTACCCTATGAGCTCCAGAAATCTTAGTTAGTGTCCCCGTAAGTTCTAAGTGACCTGTTGAGAATTTGGCCATTAAAAGAAACTGATTTCTTCTCGAAGGTAATTGAGACTAAGGAATCTGGTCATGATGCAATTGATGACGATGGCCTAAGTAGCCATGAACTGATCATGAGAACTATGTGTTCATCAATATCGAGGAGTCAGTCACAGACTAGCTACACACGTGAAATAGTACTGGATTTCTGCCATGTTACGTACTGCCGTCTTTGACTCGTTATTTCAACTGCGATCGATGTGTGATTTGAAAGGGTTCAGGGTTTTCGTTAAAGATATTACTTGATATTTATCTTTACTTCGAAAATAATTTCATGGTTCTTCGGTTTAAAGTTATTTTGTTATTCGGTAATTCTTTCAAAGTATTTGGACCCACAATTGGGTTAGTTTCATGCCTATCATTGTATGAATCTCTACATCTGCAATTCATTGCTTGAGAAATTCCTTGTTCTGCGTAAAGTATTTGTATTCTGTACAATTCGTCTTATTGGCTGCCTTATTTTGTTAGATTTTATCTGCTGCTGGTTATATGTTGAAGAGGATTTGATGCGAATATGAATTTATAAATATCTAAACCATATCTTCCGATAATTTCAGCATTTCTCCAAGTCCAGTGGGTGGAGATTTCCTCATTCCTGATTCGTTGCCACGGAAACGCCCTCGAATGTGTAATTCCTCAATCTTGTCAACGTCACATACGTCGACTGTTGCGAACACGACGAATCCATTTTCACCGCCACCTCGACCTATCACTGGAACACCACGACCTCACATGTCCAAGTTAATGCGAACTAGAGTGGACTCCTCTCTCTCCCAATCTGTTCTTAGAAAGCAGCTGATGTTAGCTACAACTTGTGGTGGAAATAACAGTGGAAGAAGCAGTGTGGCAGCTACAGTAGAGCTATCTCAACCAAACTCTGCCAAGCGCCCCATTGGCAGACCGAGAAAGTCTGTTCGTTTCTTAAATTCTCCTGATTCTCAGTCTTCCACCAAGCCATCTTTACCAGTTACTCCTTATGCTAGATCATCTGCTGGTAGGTTAATTAGCTGTCAAATTTGTAAAATTTAAGTATCGGTAGTAAATTTCTCATGTTTCTTTATATTAGATCCAAACCATCGTGTTTCTCAGCGTGGTCGCCGTTCCAGAAATACACCCTAATTGCTCAAACTTTGCTCGTCAATTTTATTGCTCATTTGCTTATATATTTTTGCCCATTTGATGTTTTTGTAACCCTGACTAATCCATTTAATCCTTTCGCCTAGGCCGATATAACACAATATGTATGACTACACACGTGTGCTTCTTTATCTATTATATTTATCCATTCCCTTGTCGGTAAACAAAATTAAAATGTTAATATTCTATTTCGGTATATGCTATGTTTGAATTTATTGTTTGGAAACGTGCAAGGCTTCAGTTGAAAGGGGCATTTTTAAGTGGCGGAATCTAGACTTTATATCTCTTTCTTTATTAAATTAATTTATATATATATATATATATTGTTTCTCGCATTCCTGGTGCTGGCTGTAACATACATTTCTTGGCTTGATATTGTATCGTAGTGCTCACAGGAGTCCACGGCTTCCGTATCTGGTTCTGAAAAGATAGTTGTACTTTGACGGAGGGTTTGGTATCAAATTCAGCGATCGTTTAGTGGGCGCAATGGTGAGCTACTTTAATTAGATTGGGACTATTAAAGATGTTAACAGAATTTGGATGTTTCTCCTGGAAGACTTCGTAATTCTACTCACGATGATTGGTAGAAAGCGCTTTAGGGAGAATGTGCTGTTCGTTCTTTGAGGCTGGGATAATCGGCTGTCCGATTGCCATTTCCTCTCACTTGTACCCCGCGATGTCTTTTGGTCCACCTCATATTCTTATTGTTTGTGAGATTGACTGGTCTTGATTCACGAGGGTGGAGACTGGTTTAAACTCATCAACTTGCCGAGCGGAGTTATATTGTGGTATTTCATCGAGTATCCACGCAGAGAACGTGTTTGCCAGCTCTCTAAAAGGGACACAGGACCAACTGACTCAGAATGTTTTTAAAAATAGCGCAGACAAGAGCACTTATGCATTCGCATGGGCTCGAATAAAGCTTCATCAGTTAGTGCCACTAATTCAAATGACTTCGGTCCTTTTGCTCCATATTTCTCTTAAGGCTTATCATTTTTCACCAACAAAGCGATTAAAAGGGATAGAATAGTTGATCCTTATTTATTAGGTTGGCATCTAAGTCATTGCCGATTTCAAATAAGAAGGCAAATTCGGAATTTATGCTTAAAAATATAACTTTATTCAATTAGATATTGGCCGTTCTTGTCAATGACCTTTTTCCATCGCTCTGGCAGAGTAAAAATTCCCCGTTCGTAAAATGCCTGGTCTTTGCTATTAAAAAACTGAATTAGGTGTGATCCGACATCATCCGCGTTGTTAAAAATTTTACCATTTAAAGAGTTTTGCATGGAACGAAACAAATGGTAATCCGAAGGCGCAAGGTCAGGGCTATATGGTGGGTGTGACAAAACATCCCAACCCAGTTCCAATAATTTTTGCTGAGTAACCAAAGATGTGTGGGGCCTTGCGT